TCTTGCGCTGGTGGGTGAAGGAAGACACTTACAGGAGAGTGTCTTAGTCTGTTTTGTGCTGCTCTAACAGAACACCTGACACTGGGTAGTACATCAAAAGCAGGACTTAATTTCGCAGAATTCTGGAGGCTGGGAGGCACAAGCAAGGTGGCAATAGTGGGTCTGTGAGCGTCCACTTGCTGCGTCCTTGGGTGGCAGAAGGGCAAACTAGCCAAACGTTGTGGGAACCCTTTCTTAGGGCCTTAATCCCATTAACAAAGGAGGCCAAATCCTCCCTTTTTTGAGACAAAGTCTTGCTCTGTCACCTGGGCTGGAGTGCAGTGGCATCGTCATAGCTCCCAGTAACCACAACTTTCTGGGCTCCAGCAATCCTGCTTCAGCCTCCTGAGTAGCTGGGGCTACCATGCCTGACTGGTTATTCTATTTTTGTAGAGACAGGGTCTTGCTCTTGTTCAGGCTGGTCTCCTGACTCTGACCTCTGTAGATCCTCCCACCTCAGCCTCCCAGAGTGCTGGGATTACAGGCGTAAGCCACTGTGCCCACCTCCGGCTGGATTCTAATGTCCACCAAAGTCTGGGACTCACTCACTGCTCTAAGAGACACAAATTTGAAGCAACATCGCTGGCAAGTCTAAGTCTTACCTAACTCTTTCCCAGCCAGTAAAGGATCATGAAGAAAATTATGTGCCCTAGAGGGAATGGAGAGCTACATTTTCTTTACAAATCTGAATGGCATGCATGTTAGGTCAGATACAGACACCAGCCTTATGAATGACCCCGATATTCACACCTGTGCCCAAGTGGACACTTCCAGATGGACACCTCTAGGTCCCTCGGGCTACCCAGAGGTACTAGGCTCTGAATTAAACTTTTTGTCCCTAATTCTGCTTTCCTTGATAAATAGCACCACCATCTATCTACTCAGTCACCTAAGCCAGAAACCTGGGAGCTGTCCTTGCCCTCCTCCTCACTCACCCTGCACCTCTAATGAGTCACTGAAGCTTGGGGCTCCAGTCCCATTATCTCTCCACTTTCTTCCAGTAACGTCCCTTATCATGTCTCCCCAACGGCCTCTTTGCCTCCAGTTTTACCCCAAACCCCTTGCATCCACCCACTCAGATATGCCAGTGCCTATTCTTCCTGCTGAAACTCCTAGAAATTGCTTTTGACCACAGGTAGTAGAAATCTGGTTACATGGTTTAACTAAATAATTTATTCTTCTCATGTCATGAAAAGTGCCCAGATAAGCAGCATACTTCCCACAATAACCATTAGGGATTTATTTTCCTTGTTTGTTTATTTGTTTTGTTTCTTGAGACAGAGTCTCACTCAAGTTGCCCGGGAGTTGAGTGCCCTAGCCTCATGGCTCACAGCAACCTCAAACTCTTGGGCTCAAGCGATCTTCCTGCCAAAGCCTCCCGAGTAGCTGGGACTATAGGTGGCCACCACAACACCTGGCTAGTTTTTCTATTTTTACTAGAGATGGGGTCTTGCTTTGCTCAGGCAAACTACCTGCCTTGGCCTCCCAGAGTGCTGGGAGTACAGGTGTACTGGCCCATTAATGAGTCCTTATGAATCTTACAGCAATGCCATGTGTAGTTGCAGCATAAAGTTATACAATTTCAAGATTCTGATGCAATCTGGACCTAAGCATAGCGTTTTAAGAAAAAACACCCTCTCCAGGTGACTGTAGTTTGCAGCTAAGTTTGACAAGCACTGCACCCAGCCCACGGGCCTTTGATTTGCTGCTGAAGTTTACAGAGAAAATCCAAGATGATTCTTGAGGTGTGTCAAAGCCAGGCTGGAACTGCTAAATAAATTGGATACTATATGACACTGGTCATCGCCAAGATGATTAAACATACAGTGAACTTTCAATTATAGCTGGCAAATTTCCAATCCCAGGCTGTTACTCCTGCTTATTAACAATCTGAATTAATTTTTATGTTTTTTCCTCTCCCACTTTCAAACATTCTCAGATACTTCACGATTCTGTCTACTTACAGTGTTTCTTGATTGGCAACAGCTTCCAATGTTTGTTATGTACTTACATGTAGGCAGGTAGGACTAGCTACTGCCATTTTTTCTAATTTGCTTCCTCCTTATTAGTGGATTTGTTTTCTTTGCAATAAAAGCAACCCTCTTTGTATTTCGCTTCTGCTGGATTTCACCTAGCTCTGGGCATTTTTCTATAATTCATATGAAAAATATGATGTTTCGGGAGGAGCTTGGCACCAAGGCCTTGGTGATAATCCCGTGACATGTGACATGAGGGAGATGAAAAGCAAACGATCTATTTACGGATTACAAAAAGAAATCGCCTTGGGTCAGAGAAGAAAAATCATTTAGAGAAAGAGGACGTTGAGATAAAGGGGGAAAATAGAAGAGAGAGCCCTGAGAAAGGAAAAGGAGGAAGGGGAAAGGATGGAAATTCGAGACTGGATTTCTGCTCAACCTTTTAGCTCACGCTATAACCACAGAGGTCCCTAATCACAGATTTCACTCTCAGGAATGCTGGAATGACACCTTAAAGCTGCTTAGTCATCTGCACCTGCTGCCATCTGATCTGAGGTGTCTACTGCACCTCATCATTCCTGATAAAATCAGTCTTTCTGGGCTACACATGCCACATTCCACTGTCACCATTAAGTCACATTCTGGGCTTGAAGACAAACCAAGCTACTCTAGGATTCTGTACATTTCCTTCCCCCCTTCCCCCCTTCCCCCCTGAAGTGAGCACAATTCTGTTGACTTCTTGGAGATGCTCAAAAGAATTGGCCTGGTATGAGAGTGAACTTTTCCAGAATTACCTGAGTCCCATGGTCACACCCCAGTTTGAAACACATGGGCCGGCTCGGCGCCTATAGCTCAACCGGCTAAGGTGCCAGCCACATACACCTAAGGTGGCAGGTTCGAATCCCCAGCCCGGACCCGCCAAACAACAATGATGGCTGCAACCAAAAAAATAGCCGGGCGTTGTGGCGGGCGCCTGTAGTCCCAGCTACTTGGGAGGCAGAGGCAGGAGACTCGCTTGAGCCCAGGAGTTGGAGGTTGCTGTGAGCTGTAATGCCACGGCACTCTACCCAGGGGGACAGCTTGAGGCTCTGTCTCAAAAAAAAAAAAAAAAAAAAGAAATGTTGTTTTGGGTCCTGATTTACACGGATTACTATTTACTATGGGTCATGGCTTCTGCTGATTATTGTTTAAGATAAAGATTAACATGGTCTTAATTTTGAACTTAAATGTATAAAACTGTAAAGTTGTAAATGGAAGAACAGAACAGTCTTGGAGAGGCTCCTCTCACTGTTCTCCAGAATCCCCACCTTCTGACAAGTCTGGGGGATCTATCTGTGTCTGTGCATATTGGCTGACAGTGACAGGCCTCGGGACCCTCTTTCACCAGAGACATCCCAAGTCAGAGGCCTGAAAGTGAGGTCCCAGACTAGCAGCATCAGGGCCAGCCACTTGGGAACAAGTCAGGAATGCAAGCTCTGGGTTCCCACCCCAGATCTAGGAGGCAGAAATGCAGCAATTTGAGGTTTGCCAAGCCCTTTAGGTGAGTCTAATGTAGCTTGGAGGTTAAGTGAACCTCATCTTTTTTTCTTCTGCGAACAGTTTGACCACCTCTGTTGTTTTTCAGGTACCACTGTGAGGACAGAGGATGAACACTATTCCCTTTCTAATCCTAACCCCCTTGGTTTACCAAACTATTCTCCCAACAAAATTGTTCCTTATGGGGATAGAAGATTAGGAGATCTTATTCAAAGAAAACTTAGGCTATATTGGAGACAGATACATGTTCACTGTAAAAAATTTAATTGCACGCACTCCTGAGAGGTAACCAGTCTCCTACATATCTTTCTAGACATTTCTGAGCACACAAGTAAATATATGTTGACACATTCTAAAAAAAAAAAACCACTAGTCTGTACTGTTTGCTCATTGCATAATTTTTTTTTTTTTGAGACAGTCTCACTTGTCGCCCTCCGTAGAGTGCTATGTAATCACTACTCACAGCAACCTCAAACTCTTGAGCTTAAGTAATTCTCTTGCCTCAGCCTCCCAAGTAGCTGGGACTACAGGCGTCTGCCCCAAAGCCTGGCTTAAAGTTGAGGTTTCCCTCTGGCTCAGGCTGGCCTCCAACTGGTGAGCTCAGGAACTCCACCCGCCTCGGCCTCCCAGAGTACTAGGATTTACAAGTGTGAGCCAAGCTGCCCGGCCCTGCATAACGTTTTTGAAATATTTTCCTTGGAAGATAATTGCTATTTCCTTCCCTAGTTGTATGAAGGTACTGCAAATTATTTAACCATTATACCCTTCTCCTTAAGTGTTGTGGCCTCTCAATCACACAAAAACACTGGAAACGCGTAGAAGCCGATCAGTTGCCATTTTGGTATCTGCACAATTGCGCCTTTGCCAAACAGGAAACATACAAAAAGAATACTGAATTCTGCTAACCAGGTAAATTACACTATGCTAAGGTCTCCTAAAATTGCAAGGGAGAAATGATGGGGCAAGGAATGAAGAAGTACTGATTTTACACACCTCAAAGAAAACCTCAAAGCAACACAACAAAAAATGAAAACTACAAAAAGCATCCATCTTGGTGCATCCCAATTACTAAATAACAAATGATACTCTAGGGCCAAAGTCAATCGTAAATAATGACGTTTCTAGACAAAATGACTTCAGATCTTCAAGGCGTACCACATATAACTCATTCACCCAATTTCGTGCACTATAGTCGGGGCACTACCCCCTTCGGAAGAGAAAGTCATTTTTTCCCTGCGTTTCAGGTTTCTGGACTTTTCGCCGCTGCGGGGCACAAGAAGGCGGTGGCGCACGCGGACCCTTGGCCCCACCTCTGGGCTGTCTCGGCCACTCGCGCCCTGAGGCTGCCGTAGGGGGCCGGCTGAGTACGCGGGCGGCGATTGGTTCCGGGCCAGGGTGGGCGTGGCTGGAGGACCGAGGTTTATAAGCTTCTGCGACGCAGCTGCGCGGGTTTGCGCCGCCATCTACTGCGGAGGTTCTTTCTTCTCCAGTTTCTCCAAGCCCAGACCCGCGCTTGTGACCCGCGAGACATGACGATGAAGGCGGTGTGCGTGTTGAAGGGTGACGGCGCAGTGCAGGGCACCATCCACTTCGAGCAGCAGGCAAGGGCTGGGACGGAGGCCCGTTGCGGGGCCGCAACCCGCGCACCTGTACCGGTAGCTGGCAGGCGGCCTTGCCTAGGGCCGCCCTCGTCACGCCCCGAGCGCGTCCGCGCCGCCCGGTCCCCCGGGCTGTGCGGCGCCCGTTAAGTGCTGAGTCACCCTGCGGGCGGGGCGCGGCGGGGCTGGGCCAGGGCGTGGGCTAGAGTGCGGGAAGAAAACGCCGGGGCCTGCCCCGCGGGTGCACACCGCGGCTGCATTGGAAGGTTGTGGGCGGGCTGTCGCTTCGGGGTCGTTCGGCCGGCCCGGAAGCTTGGCACGTTTGAAGCGGCCGTAGTCCTTCCTTACCTTGTCTATTCTTGCTCCCGAGGATTCCGCATTCACCAATTTACGTAGTCCGAGGCCTGTCCGGTCCTTTAGATAGCGGGTGGCGGTCCGCCTATGCATTGTCGCATCCCTTATCCTTCTGGGGCTGCTTTTCCGACTTAGTCTCAGGTCTCCGTTTTTGTGCAGCTCTAGATAATAAAACTGTTTTTTAAGGTTTAAAGAGGCTGTGGAAAACAGTACGCAATAGGGACCATATGTGGCACTTTACAGGCAAGTTGGCCCTCGTTTTAGGTCATGGTCAGGCCACGGGGGCAAAGAAGACGCCCTTGGACAGAGATCTTTTTCCTCTTTTGTAGTTCCAAAAGCCAGCGATCTAATTGTTTTGTTGGGGATTTTCCCGGGCAAGGATTCTCAACTCTGGGTGACACTACACTTATTTGGGGGAGCTTTGAAAAAAATACAGGTATCAGGGCCCAACCTCCAAACAAGTAACATCAAAATCTGTCGCAGTGCAGTCTGAGGATTGCTATTTTTTTGAAAGTATCTCTAGTGATTTTAATGTGGACCCAGGATTGACAACTGTTTTTTGAGGACATGGGTGGGGTTTGGATTTCGAAGTTAGGAGACTTGGGATTTCCATTACGTCGAATTGGCACTTAACTATGTTATTGGATTCTTGAAGTGGCTTTAAGATTGTTCTGCTAATAGGCAAGTTCGTGAGGTGGTACGAGACAAAATTTCTGAACAAATCTCGTAAAATAAAGTATACAGAAATACAATAATACTGCAAAACACGTGGGTTGGAGGGAAGGTACTTATACGACTGTCCTGGGAACCTTAAGGAGGTTACCAAACTGGTGGAAAATGGTTTATTTAGCTTAATAATCATGAGAGAATATGTAATAATATGAATGAGATTGTTGCTTTAAAATGGTGTACAAACTTGTGAGAGGACAGAAGCAGTAGTCTGTAAGTGTGAAATTTATGCGAAGGAGAACTTGGGTTTGATTTTAGGTTTTCTTTCATTGGTCTCCACGTTTTCTGGAGAAGGCTCTTAGGCATTTGACTGCATTTTGGTTGCCTTGTCAGACATTTTGCTGCCTCTTCTCCCACATGATTCACCAGGACTGTATGGAGTCTGGATCGCCTCCCTCTGGCTTTTGATAAGCCACGTCGGAACCCTCGGTCTTTCCAGAGAAAGCTGCTCTTTCTCTGAGCAGCTTGTGTGGTTCCTTTTTTTAAACTCCCAACTTTATCCTGGTGGTGTCCTTCATACCCTTCATACCTCATACAGACACTTGGGTAGTTAAGTACTATAGCTTTCCAGATACACACATATAATCAGTTGGCTACATAAACTGTTTGGTTTGGCCTATGTAGGGTTGAAAATTTTTAGATGCCAACTTTTAAAAATCAAAAATTTTTAAAATTTCTAATTTTCCTGGCTTTTCTTAAAAATTGAGAGATCTGCTGATACTGAACTTTCATTACCCCAGGACAGCACTTTGTGCTGGAGCATTTTACATTCCTTTTTGCTTCTCAGGCCTATTTACTCCTTTATGGTAACAACTTGGTCCCTGTAGGGTTTCAGCCAGCTTGCTTTTTAACAACTGCTTATATTTGCAGTATGCATTGCCCCTTAAGTGGAGGTTGGAAAGGACCTGGTCTTTTTGTGTTTTTATGCTCTGTATAACACATTTTTTTTGACAGAGTCTCACTGTGTTGCCCTTGGTAGAGTACGTGGCATCACAGCTCACAGCAACCTCAAACTTTGGGGCTTAAGTGATTCTCTTGCCTCAGCCTCCCAGGTAGCTGGGACTACAGGCGACCACTATAACGCCTGGCCGTTTTTTTTGTTGCCCTTGTTTCGCTTGCCTTGGCCAGGTTCTATCCCACCACCCTCCGTGTATGTGGCTGGCACCATAACCACTGTTGCTAAGGGCACTTTAAGGGTGCTGAGCCTGTATAACACATTTTGAGGGGCAACATTAATACTTGAGTTTTTCCAAAATTAAGTATTTAGAAGAATCATAGTATAATATCTCTTATTCAAAAAGAAAAAAAAAAAGGACAGCAGTTATGAGGATACTTCCATTGGAGCCAGTGGTATTTTGCAGTGGGAGAGCAAATCTGAAAGGCTAATGCTTCTTGGTACTGTTGGCCTTGTCTATTTGAAAACAAACCAAGTGGCTGGGCAGAGTGGCTCATGCCTGTTATCCTAGCACTCTGGGAGGCGAAGGCGGGTAGATTGCTTGATCTTAGGAGTTGGAGACCCCCATCTGTACTAAAAATAGAAAAAGTAGCTGGGGATGTGTGCCTTCTTTCAGTATGTCTCTTTGTATTTAATGGTTTATTAGGAACTCCCTTGATTTCTGCGTGTAGCTGCACAGCCCCATCACTCATCACCCTTGCCTGCCTGGAAATTCTGTTTAGGTTTTTTATTGTCTTTCTTGTTTTGTTAGAGTGGAAAGGTTATCTAAGTGCCTAAAAAGATTTTAGAAAACAGTACTTCTGGTTAGATTAGAATTGGTCCTCCTGGGGTGAGTTGGATAGGATATTTTGGGGTTACTAATTAAAAATACTTATGAAGGGAACTTAAAAACATTGACTGAGGAAACAGTGGAGGATGGTGGTTCTAGGATAGCCTGCCGGATACTTCCAAGGTTCCTTTTTCTTCTTTAAAGCAAGTTGGTATGTTTGCCCTGTATTAGAGCGCAGGCTGCATGAAGCAAAAGCAAGGGGCTAAAGAGGTAATAGTACTACACCTTTTGGGTTAAAAGGACACACATGCTCAACATATACAAATACAGCCTAGTCAAAAGTATTTACTAATAAACAAGTACTTTTTCTTATTACGTATTTTCTGTAAAAAAGTCAAGCCCTGCAAAGCATATGAATCAGACAATTTGGTACTTACTGTTTTTTTTTTTCTTTCTTTCGAGACACATGTCAGCCTGGCTCACAGCAACCTCAGACTCATGGCTTCAGCTATCTTTCTGCCTCAACTTCAGGAGTAGCTATGACTACTGGCACTGACCACACGTTGGGCTAATTTTTGTATTTTTAGTAGAGACAAGGTCTCACTCTTGCTCAGGCTGGTCAGGAACTCCTGAGTGGCCTCAGGTGCTTTTAATAGGTTGCTTAATCATGATGCCGGAGCACAGAGCCACCTGCATGCTGAATGCTTGCTAGAGGCTCACTGGCTGGAAAGCAGTGGGCCTGGGATTCTGACGCCCAATTCCATGTTCTTTTCACTTTATTGTGTGTGTTGAAGGTAAATCAGCTGTTTACTTTGTTCAGAGGCACCTGTTCTCTGAAACGTGTTGTACTTCTCTTTGAATGAAGGGAAATGGACCAGTTATGGTAAAGGGACGCATTACAGGACTGGCTGAAGGTGATCACGGATTCCATGTCCATCAGTTTGGAGATAATACACAAGGTGGGTGTCTTGCTGCTCTAGGGACCCATACCTTAACCAAGTACAGTAAACAGGACTGAGTAGAGTAACCCCCTATACATTAAAAACCCACAATTTTTTTTAAAGGTCATGTTAAAATGACTACTAAGATGAACCTTAGGGAGAATAACCACAAAAAGGAGAAGTTGATTTTTTGGGGTCGTGATTATGGTCAACTATAAGAAATTGTTAAGAATGAAAAAGTAAAGCTCATTTCTTACCTGTGGTAATGATCCCTGGTGTTTGTGAGCTGGGGTTTGAGGGGACATCACAGGGTCCGCGTTTATTTGCGTTCTGCTATATGAGGACAGATAGCTCCACACTACAACACAGGATCCTTAGGGAAGAAGTACTGTGCAAACTGCAGGTAGCAAACTCTTGGTGCTTTGGAATAACTTTCATTTTCATCATTTAGGATTAGAAGCAAGTTAAAGTTTATGGGTTAAATTGTATTTAGTGATCTTTTGTCTTTATTTGAACCACAGTCTGAACTTTGTGTTTATGGATTTCTTATGTTGAGAACTTTATTCATTTTACTAGAACTTGTTTTTAATGTTCTATAATTTAGTTCCAAATAGTGATTTAATGACAAGATTTGATCCGTTTCAATAATTATAATATTAACATTTCCAAGCAGCCAGTTGCTTCTTGGTTTGGGAGGTGCTTGTCCTGTAGCTTTGACTAGCTGAGCTACTTCCTGTAACCTGTCTTTCTCCCTGCGTGGGACTCCTGGGGAAAGTAGGACTGCTGAATAGAGAAGCCCATGTCATGGATGGACCTACCACACTGTGGGGGTTGTGTTCTTTGTGAATGGCATCCTCTGGCATACGAGAGTGCTGTTTGTATGGGGTGCAGTTGGAGTGCCACCCCCTGGAGTTATGTGAGGCAGCAGCCTTGGTCCTTGGACCTAAGGTGCTGTGTTAATGTTCTCCCCACAGCAAGTAAAGGCCACAGACCAGAGAGCTGCTTGGTACTGTGTTGCTGGAGAGGTAAGGTTTTTGTAGTTAAGGCATTCTGCCTTCTTGAATACTAGGATCATAATCAGAGTATTTTAAAAATAGAAGTCTGGGCTTGGCGCCTGTGGCTCAAGTGGCTAAGGCACCAGCCATGTACACACACGGTGGCGGGTTTGAATCCAGCTCAGGCCCGCCAAACAATGACGGCTGCAACCAAAAAATAGCCGGGCGTTGTGGCGGGCGCCTGTGGTCCCAGCTACTTGGGAGGCTGAGGCAAGAGACTCGCTTGAGCCCAGGAGTTGGAGGTTGCTGTGAGCTGTGATGCCACAGCACTCTACCCAGGGAGACAGCTTGAGGCTCTGTCTCAAAAAAAAAAAAAAAAAATAGAAGTCTGGTTCCTTAATTTTAGAGCAAAGAAGTCAAAGCTAACTTTGTTAGTGTCAGACTGTAGTTAAAACTTGTCTCTACTGCCTGCCCACAGTGTTTTTATACCAAGGTGTTGCTTAGCCCGGAAGTCATGATGCATGTCCGTGCTTTCTCCAAGTGCAGGTTTCAGCAATGTTTCTTATTAGAATGTATTTGGAGTTCTGTTTCGTAATTTTTGTTTGTTTGTTTGTAAATAGGCTGTACCAGTGCAGGTCCTCACTTTAATCCTCAATCCAAAAAACATGGTGGGCCAAAGGATGAAGAGAGGTAAGCAATAAGATGCTTAGCTCTTGTTATAACCAAAGCAGTGGAATCTGTATGTGTACTGCTTGCAAATTGCATGTTAAGATAATTGTGTTCTCCACCAATTGGTTTTGCATTTGTTGATGCCCATGGAACCCTTTATCCAAAAGTGCTGGGATTTACTTCCTGGGGCACTTAAAACGACAAATGGGGACACTTAAAACGATTTGGTTTTGTAGCATTTATTGAAGATAGAACTAATACAAGTGCCAAAGGGAACTAATACAAGAAATATCATGAGTAACAAACACTACCAAACAATCATCCTTGTGAAACATGGGAACCTTCTGTAGATAAAAATAAGACATTGAACCTGGTCAAGACTCCTTTTGTGTTGTGTTTTCTGAAAGCCTTTCAGGGAAATATTAGATTTAAGGACAGAGATTAGTTTTTAAATAATAGGCCTTGGGGGCATAACTTTCTTAGCTATGCCAGTAATTAACAGGCATAACTCAGTAACTTAAAGAGTTCACACTTTGGTACTTTACTTCTGAAACTAGAGGTATACTCCCATCCTGTGACTTTTCCCCAGAGCATTCATTACTTTATAAACATCAATCCTTGTTTGAAGAGTTGTGTCTAGAATGTCTTTGTTTCCAAGATTTTGTCAATTCTGGAAAAGTGGGTCTTATTTGGTATATACTAGTAAAAATTACACCTTTTAGCCCACCCTTATATACTTAGTCAATTTTTAATTTAGTTCATGAACTCTATACTGATGGTAAGTGGAATTTGTCCTAATCAATCTGATGCTTTTTCAACATAGGCATGTTGGAGATCTGGGCAATGTGACTGCCGGCAAAAATGGTGAGGCCATTGTGTCTATTGAAGATTCTATGATCTCACTCTCAGGAGAACATTCCATCATTGGCCGCACAATGGTGGTGAGTGTTTGTAGTATAAAGGATATGTGTAAAATTTCTCCTGATTTAGTCATGTATCTTTTTATGACTTCGTGAATATTTCTGTTCTGCTTTCTAAAGATCCAGACAAATTGTAGTTCAGATTAGGAAAAGCAGTTTATGTGAAAATGAACTGTTTTTATCTAGGCCAGTTAAGAACATTGTTTTGCTAAGATTAGCAGTAAAAAGCAGGTTTCATTTGGTCATATTAGATCCCAATTGGGAAAACTACTAGTAGTCTTAAATTTTAAAATAGCCAGATTTTCTTGCCACAATTCAATTTCCTTCTTGTACCTAGACAGAACATTTTGTTATGTTTACAATTTTGAATGGACTTGAGTATTAATGTCCATTCCATTCTGCAGGTTATCATTACTTGTTAATAACGTAAGAAAATTGGTTGCCTCAGTTACCCTGCGGAGGCACATCTGGTTCATGCAAAGTAATATAGGCTCTTCTTCTGCCTACCCTCGAGGGACAGTTAATATTCAGTAGCCACTTCCTTTCAATTAACACTTTATCCTTACAGTTGTCTTCAGCTGTAATTGTGAAGCAGAAAAATCATTTGAGTTCATAAATTTTAATGGACAAAATTTAAAATACTATTGCTAAAACCTTTAAGACAATTTTACGATTACTTCTTATAGGCATGCCATTTTTATAGTTTTGGGTTCCCTTTCACTCCTTTCTTTTACAAAGCAATTAAAAAAGTGCCAAAAGTAAACACAAGGATGACTACTGTAACTAAGGTTGCCATAGTTTATCATGGAGGATTAAAGCTAGCATGTGGTAGCCTAGAAGCTTTTGGATTTTTAGTATTTCATTTAGAGACAGCAATACTTACCTAATGTATAAAGGTAACAGGTCTTTCCTTGTACCATCACGAAAAAACAGGAGTTCCTACTTTAAAACTACTAGTTGAAATGTACTAGTATTTCTCTGCTAGTGGGATTATTTTAATGTTATTTTTGTAATATTATGAGGTTCTTGAAAATCATTTGGGTATTAGAAGAGGTGGTAATTACTCAAAGTTCTATGTTTTTAAAATTTTTTAAAGGTCCACGAAAAAGCAGATGACTTGGGCAAAGGTGGAAATGAAGAAAGTACAAAGACGGGAAATGCTGGAGGTCGACTGGCTTGTGGCGTAATTGGGATCGCCCAGTAAAGATTACCAAGGATGTGGTCTGAGTCCTAGTAACTCATCTGTTATCCTGCTAGTTGTAGAAATGTAACTTGATAAACATTAAACACTGTAATCTTAAGAGTGTAATTGTGTGACTTTTTTTAAATTGCTTTAAGTACCTGTAAAGAGAACTGATTTATGATCACTTGGAAGATTTGTATAGTTTTATAAAGTTGATTATCAATTAAAATGTCTGTTTTCAATTTCTGTATTTTGCCAGACTTAATCACAGATGGGTATTAAGCTTAATTGAATTTCTTCCATTCTCATTCAAGCCTGTGAATAAACACCCTGTGTGGCACTTATTTTGAGCCTATTAAAGCATCCAAATTGAAATTGTAAATTAGCTGATACTCATTTGTATAGAGCTTGAATGGAATAGATTTAGTAGTAACTATTTCCTAGCATTGTATTTTAAAAGTGTTTCAAGTGGGACCCTCAAAATGTATAAAATTTTAAATTTCTTGCTAAAAACTAAGCCCAATTTTGAATTTAGACTAATGGGCTGTCTATCCTTTGCCAGCTTTAGGTTGATCCTCCCTTAGTCATTTTGATTCATGAAGTGCCTGCTTATTTTAAAAAGTAGGTATTCTGGTTTAAGAGAGCCCAGGCAAGTTATAAACTCAGCTAAGAGTAAGATTACTGTATATACCAGCCAGAATGGCATATTCTCTACTTTGAAAAGTAGAGGTTGACACAGTCTGTGTTCAGATTAGCCCAGGGGTCCTCAAACTTTTTAAACGGGGGGGCCAGTTCACTGTCCCTCAGACCGTTGGAGGGCCGGACTGCGGGCCCCAGGACAAGTCAGCTGCTAAGCAGGACAGGCAGCAGTGGCAAAAACACTCGGAGAGGCCGGCCGCAGTTTGAGGACACCTGGTAGCCCGTTAAAGAAATCTGTATAATTGGAAGATGAAACCAAGTAAATGTTTGATTGCGGGTTCTGGGCATACAAAATAGTACAAGGATTTATACACCTAATTAATGTACCTGTGAGAATACTTCTAAATGAAAAAACTCAGGTTTGACTGGGTTACAAGTTTAATTGAAAATTGTAGAATATTTCTTATAGAGAAATGTTATTTCTCGAATGTAGTTCATTTAGGAGATGAAAGCCTAAAACTGTGATAAAGATCGGTCTATTCATAGTAAGTGGCTAAATGACCAGGTAGAGAACTTAAAAACAGATTTTTCACTGACGTACAATGTGGTGCATATGTGTGATAAGTATAGGGACTCGCTGGTGACCTTTTAAAAGCCTTAAGTGTAATCACACTACCTATATGTGTAAACAGGGTGGTCTCAATATTTTCAACTGCGAATACAGGCTGTAAATCCTTAAACCCTGGATGCTGAATAATCACATGTATGTTTTTCAGAAGGTTTCCCTTACAACTTTAAGGACAAGTTACATATAATTCAAGTCCACAGATAGGAAACTGATTTTCTCTCATTTTCTAAAGGCAGGAATACAAGAACATTGCCCTAGGTAGTAAACACTCCCCTTCAAAAACAAAGGTCTTGCAGAGTATTATTTAAGCAAAGTTATAAAGTAGCTTCGCCTGAGGATAAAGGGAAAGAAAATTAAGTGCAGAGCACACTGAAACTAGGACAGTTTAAGAATGGTACTTAAAAAGCTTCAACAAGGCCACAAAAGCTCGGTTAGTGTTAACGTCTTGGCACTGCATAGCACTTTTGGCTTTTCTGTACTATTTGAGATGCAGGCTTGATTCCGCTTTGGATGTCTTCATGTGGTAGTTCTGGAAAACCAGTTTCCCCTAGTTAACCTAACGATTTTAAGCATAAAAGCAGTATTTTATATATGGCAAAAATCTCAGAGGCTACCTCTGCCCAGCAGGGAAGTTTAAAAAAAAAAAAAAAAACAGTAAAGAAAGGCTCCAGGCAAGATTTATAGGAAACAGTAAGTTGCATTGAAGTCCTTAAACATAAAGTCAGTCCAAAAGCTTCTAGGTTGCAAATGTTAACCTTGATTTCTTTTATACTCCTCTGAAAAACTTAATGGCTGGTTAAACAAAACATGCAACCTTCTAAATAATATTCAGGTAACCATGTAATTTATAGTACAACCTGTAACACTGGGGGCTAATCCCCCCCCCCCACAAAATATCTCTACAAATTAATCGGGGCAACATTTATAAAGCCAATGGAAAAAAAGAAAACCTTGATCTAACTGCAGATACAAACTTTTCAATTAACATTAAAACCTTTACCTTATGACTGAAATTCTAAAACTTAAAAGTATTACATATGGAAGAGAATAACTACATAGAAATGTCTATTCCATAAACAAGTCTAATTTAGACTCCAGTACAGTATCAACAACTCAAACTTTGATGGTGAACAATCCTTTTCCACCTCAATGCAGTGTAGGAAGAATAGCACACATTAAAGTTTGTTACGAAAATAGAGTTTATTAAAAACATCCCTATTGTGTTGAGGAGCTTTCACCGTTACCTTGTCTTAAATTAAAAAAAAAAAAATAGAGAGCACTTCTAATTTTGATTTGTAAACTTTTTAAAGTCAAAACTTTTAAAAAGTTACAGCAAAAGGGGTAATATTTATTCATATTTTCAGTATTTTTTGTTATTTTGTGGCTATTTTTAAATAGAAGGGAAGCAATCAAATTGCTTACAATTCCCCACCAACTACCGTGGGGCTGTGATATAGCAGGAGCAAATATAATACAGCATCTGTACACCTGACGCTCTAACTCCAGGAAGTGTCACTGTCACATTTTGACAAATTCCAGTCACTTAGCGAGGAGCCTCTGCTGCTGAGCCAGAATCCTTTTCAGGTTCAACGGATGAGGTAGCCTCAGCAGGTAACTCTTCAGGTTTTACAACTGTGGTCTCAGACTCCCCCTTATCAAGTTCTGAAACAGTGTCTACATTTCCCACTTGGCTAAGGGGAGGTTCAATGGTTTTGTTACCACCTGCCCTGTCTGTCACCTCAGGCTTTTCCTTTCCTCGGTTTTCTTCCTTCTCTCTACGAGACTCTCTATCTCTAGAATCTCTCTCTCTGTCTCGATGCCCACTAGAGCGTCTATTTCTCTCTTCCAAGTCTCTGTGCCTGTCCCGGTCAGGGCTCCTTCTTCCCCACTCTCTCCTTTCACGATTACTATTATCTCTATCATCATTACGGCTCCCATACCGTTCCCGGTCATTTTCCACCCTATTTCCGAAAGATCTTCTTCCAAACCTCTCTTGGTCTCTACCTGAATTGAACTGCTGCCTGTTATCATTTCTAAACTGCTGTGGCTGCTGCTGGCTTGGTGGAGGCTGCTGCGACGGTGGCGGCTGCTGCTGCTGCTGTGGCTGTGGTGGTGGTGGCTGCTGCGGCGGTGGCTGTGGCTGCTGGGGTTGTTGCTGTCTCCCCTCTCTGTCTTCAGGAACACCTGGGCCTGGTCCTGGGCCCCCGAGCCCTGGCATTCCACCAGGCCGAACAAAGGGGCCGTGGGGTGGAAAGGGACCTTTCATTCCATGAGGTGGAGGCATTGCAAAGCCCCCTGGTCCTGGTGGCGGACCTCTGTGCATCATGTGTGGTGGCATGGGGCGAGGGGGCATCAGAGGGAATCGCTGCAGGTGAGGTGGAGGCATTCCTGGAGGGCGCTGAAGTGGGATGAGGCCGGGTCGGGCACCAAGAAGACCAGTAGATGGTGCCTGGAGCCCAATTACAGGACCAGGGGCAACCCCTTGAGTGCCTAAAAGACAACAAAAGCAAAATGTAAATACCATAGAAAGCAGCAGTGCATTTTCAGCTGGTTTAGCTGAAAGTAAGTGCAGCACCTTCAAATGTCACGCTTTTTGCCACTCTACCTGCCAACAACTCAATGTGAGGGCCCACTAATAACCTAAATAAGGCAGGCAATCACAAAGACTAATTTTTTTAAGTACCTAATAAAAGCAGAGGCCAAAATAAGCTGGAAAAGAAAATGTTAAAGGTGAGAGCAAATACTCAGAGGAGCACACATGTTAAATCCTGATGACCAACATTCACGATTACTAACTATTCAAGCCAAGTGAGCGGTACTACAGTACACTCAATCTTACAAAACTACATTCCCGTTCTAGGTCTAGAAAAAAACAAGGTCACTAACCTAGAAAAATCCAGAGGAAGGTCTCTTTGGTTCCACGCTACCCTCAGTCCACATTAAAACACCTCATGTAGTTGCTATGCAGTATGTACCACTTTAATGTTCACAAAGCAAAGACCCACACACAAATGTAAAGTTTATTTTTACAGTTCCTTCTTCAAAGCATAGCACAATGTGTGTAACTTGCTAGGCCCATATTACTGTTCACGAATGTTGAATGTTAAGCCATTCACCTTCCATCCATTCTTCCAAAGGTGGCAAATGCGATAAGCTTGTGCTGTTGAAAATAACTGATCTGTTGGCTTTATTTTCACATTTACAGAAGGGTTTGCTCATTGTAGTCTGACAGTCACACAAGTTCAACACCCCGTCATTTAAATCACATGGGCAAGAATTAATTTGTTTTGGTTCATCACTTAAGTAACATAAAAGCACTGGCATCTCACAATTTATTTCTTTGAAAATATAAAATATTACAAGGCAAATACTATGACCAAAAGGAGTAACTGTAATAATGGAAAATGTTCAGATATAACTTATAGAATATGCCATTTACTTGTGTGCTGCAAAAATGCCTTTGAGCTAGTTGTCAGGACAGATCATTTGGCCATAAGAGAAATGCTGTGACACTGAGAGGAAAATCACTCAATATTTCAGTACTAGTATTTTCATATCCTTTTTTTTTTTTGAGACAGAGCCTCAAGCTGTCCCCCTAGGTAGAGTGCCATGGCATCACAGCTCATAGCAACCTCCAACTCCTGGGCTCAAGTGAGTCTCCTGCTTCCGCCTCCCAAGTAGCTGGGACCATAGGCGCCTGCCACAATGCCTGGCTATTTTTTTTTGGTTGCAGCCATCATTGTTCTTTGGTGGGCCTGGGCTGGATTCGAACCCGCCACCTTAGGTGTATGTGGCTGGTGCCTTAGCCACTTGAGCCACAGCAGCTGAGCCATTCATATCCGTTTTTCCTTAGTATCATGTTATTTTAGGTTTACAACCTGAACCAATCTCTTTTCACCCACTTTTAGCGAACAGGTTCTAGAATGTTTCTAAATTTTTTCTTCTTTTTGAGACAGAGTCGCACTTTGTCCCCCTTGGTAGAGTGCCATAGCAACATAGCTCTCAGCAACCTCCAACTCTTGTGCTTAGGCGATCATTCCTGCCTCAGCCTCCTGAGTAGCTGAGACCCCAGGCGCCCTCCACAAAGCCCAGCTATTTTTAGAGACGAGGTCTCGCTCAGGCAATCCACCCGCCTCATCTTCCCAGTGTTGGGATCACAGGCGTGAACCACCATGCCTGGCCTTAATCAGGTTTTGCTACCTGAAACATGTAGTCAATATTCTCTCAGAGTTAACCACTTAAGTGGATCTGAAAGTGTACATAAACTACTTTATAACTCTTAACACAAAGACTCATCAGCTATGGCAATTAAATAAAATAATTATCTTCTGATTGCGTAAAGAAAAATATGTTATGGTGAAACATAATCTTACAAGCATGTTGGACATGTGCCTTAGTATTCTGGCTTCTAAAATGGGCATAGTAATAAACACTTGCCACTTATTGAGATCAAATGGGATAAAATACAGAGTGAACTCAATGCCTGGCTCCATTAACTGCTAAAATTATTATTCCACACATCTATTTAGAAAAGTGACAAATAACCTAACACTAAATATATAATTTTGCAAAAATATTTGTCAATTCCGATAATGAAGATCTTAATCCCTCCCCTTCCCCAATACTTACCCAGAGTTTAAAACCAAACACTTTAGAAGTTGGGAAAAACAAAAGACACTGAACTTCCACCTGCCAGGTCTAAAATTGGGAAATGCTAACTGCTCATCAAGAGCCAGAAACTGTGACATGGACAAATAAAGTGGGAAGTTTGTGTGTTCAGACTTTTTTGGGGAAAATTTCACAACAACACACATACCTAAGACCATCCCTATACTATAGCTCTGATGAAAACAAAGCTCAGTGGTACACGGAACTGTTCTTCACTCACTCAGTAAAGCACATCACCCCGGGGCAACAAAAGCACATGTCCTTTTGCTCTCATTTTTTAAAGCAATAGTATAATCCCAACATCTATGGACTTTAATTCAAAACAAACGACAGAAAATGTACATACTTGGGTACAGCCTCTTTTAATAGTTACCATACCTATCCCCCCTTTGCAGTGAACATATACTGCCTTTATAATAAAAATTACATTTAAATAAAAAAAACTAGGTGGCTGAAGTCTTTGGTAGGTTATCTAGCTGAACTTTAATTTTTACTAGGAAGGCTTTATTAAGAAAACTGGCATTATGCATGTATCAGTGGAATGTATATTGAGTTCTCCAGGTCAAACAGGCATTCAAAGCAGTTATCTTTTCTGGAAGTATGATGTACAACATAACTGCCAAGTTTTCCAGAGTTACAAATTTTAAAGAAACTCAAAACAGGGTGGCACCTGTAGCTCAGTGGGTAGGGCACTGGCCACATTCACCAAGGCTGGCCAGTTTGAACCTGTCCCGGGCCACCTAAACAATGACAACTGTAACAACAAAAAAATAGCCAGGCTATTTCTGTCAGGCGCCTGTAGTCCCAGCTTCTTGGGAGGCTGAGGCAAGAGAATCACTGAAGCCCAAGAGTTTGAGATTATGGTGAGCTGTGATGCCACGGTGCTCCACCAAGGGCAACATAAAAAAAACAAAAACTTCAAAACATTCATAAATGTATTAAATATAGACCTTTACACTGACTCATTTAATGGGCTAAGAATATAGTTCTTTCCTTCATAGTGTACAAAGTTCAGCAGATAAATACACAATTTTCAATTGCTGTATAAGGTGGCACAAGTTAGCACCAAGTGATACCAAGGTGGACCTGACAAAGATGGTGTGTGAAATCTGAGTGAGAGTCACAGGGATGTCCGACTTGCATCTCAAAGGAAAGGAAGAACAGGTAAGGTGGGCAGGCATTACTGTTAAGAGCAGCAGTTTTTGGCTGGGTGCCCATAGCACAGTGGTTTCAGAGCCAGCCACATGCACCGAGGGTGGCAGGTTCAAATCCAGCTAAACAATGCAATGCATTCTGGTGGGTGCCTGGAGTCCCAGGTACTTGGGAGGCTGAGGTAAGAGAAATGCTTAAGCCCAGGAGTCTGAGGTTACTGTGAGCTGTGACACCACAGCACTCTACCAGGGGCCACATAGACTGTCTCAAAAAACAAAAACCAACCAAACAAACAAACCAGCAGCTTTTGAAAAAGCTAAGCGCAGGTAAAGCAGCAAAGCACATAACTGCCCTATGACAATTTTTGATGAAAACTAAGAGAGAAAAATACAGACAGATGAGATGAGGTCTACAAGGCTGAACAAGTGGGTCAAGGCAGTTCCGAAGTCTCATGCTTGGGAAGGAAGCTGGATTCTGACCCGAAGTGATTCAGGAAACCACCAAGGAATTTTTAGCAGGCATCAACAATCCTATGATTTTTTTACAGAGATCCTTTGACAAGTAGTGTACAGGAAAGCAAGGAGGAAAAAGCCTCTAGGGAATAGTGACAGAGACTGAACTGAGAGGTGCTACAGATGAAGGACACAATGAAGACATTTTGTGAGCAGGACTGACAATCTAAGATGAATGGGCACAATTCTCTGCTCTGAATGAGTCGATAGAGGTATCAATGCAGGATCCGGAATTTAGGAAAAGAAACCATTTGGAGACAGATGATAAACTCCACACAGTAGTACTAAGAGTCAGAGCCCCCTGGGCAACCTCTGTGGAAATTGGTTTAAGAAGTTGATTATTTACATCCCCAGAGCTCAGAAGAGACAAATCATGGTGTTAACTCCCCCAGAATACAGGCCAAACAAAAATGAGCTCAGACCTGGGAAAACTTACATTTCTAATACAGTAAGGTTTGGGGGCAAACCAAAAAAGCAATAGCATCAAATTCTGCATTAAATTTTGAGAAATATAGAAAATAAACTGGAGCTTAACTCAAAAAGAGCAAGACTAAACTGAGGATTTCCTATGATGATCCAAAAAACAAGTTTTTACAATTAAAAGGTAAAAAGCAGATGCATTGCCATCTACATCAAAGATTTGGAATTATGTAAAATAAAGAGCAAGTACATTAAAGGGCTACAGGGGAGGTGAGGGTTGCTCTCAGAGTTGGGAATCTAATGTTCACCTTGAAATCTCAGAATTTAAATAAGGGATATACAGTAAATGCATAAATATGACAGCTTTCTGCCAAGAACCAGAGTGTATGTCACCAACAAGACAGATATAAAACTAAGATGTAAAAGGTCTGATTTTTACTGTAGAAGTGATCAATTTTTGCAACAGCCATTTGATTTCATTCATAGGGAATGTGAATTTTAAGTAAGATCTTTAAAGAAAAGCAGGGATTTGCTATGTGAAAAGGTGGGAGGAGGGCAGAGAACTTGGGAAAAGGCAGTCAGTTCCTCCACTTCTCCACCAATAACTCTGCCTCCCTTTCTACCTAGCCACTGCCTATAGGTGGTCTGGGATGTTTACCATTAACTTCATTTACTTTCAAATTCTCAATTTCATGTACCCTACCCTCCAACCCTCCTTCTCCTTTTACCAGATCATTC